AAAAAAAAAAAGACCAAACTTACTGGTCTGACAGACTGGAGAAACCCTGAGAGTATGACCCCTGGACACCTTTATAGCTCAGTAATGAAGTCATTCCCACGGTTCACCCTTAATCCAAAGATTAGATAGACCCATAAAACAAAACGAGACTAAATGGGCACACTAGCCCAGGGGCAAGTATGAGAAGGCAGGAGGGGACAGGAAAGCTGGTAATGGGGAACCCAAGTTTGAGAAGGAAAGAGTGTTGACATGTCATGGAGTTGGTAACCAATGTCACAAAACAATATTTATGTTAATTGTTTAATGAGAAGCTGGTTTTATCTGTAAACCTTCATCTAAAGTACAATAAAAAAATTTTAAAAAGAAATCCAGTAAATGTAAGAATAATTACAAATTTTTTTTCAATGTTTTTAGTCCTTTTGGACAACCAGAACAAATCCAGCTTTGCTTTATAATGTTAGGAATAGTTTTGGAGTTCTGTTGCAGCGGTTAAGAGCTATGACTGCTAACCAAAAGGTGGGCGGTTCCAATCCACCAGCTGCTCCTTGAAAACCCTATGGGGCAATTCTACTCTGTCCTTTAGGGTTGCTATGAGTCAGAATCGACTTGACGGCAACGAGTTTGGTTTCACGGATTGTTCTGAAATTTTATAACTATGGATTTGTTATAGTTCTTGGATCCTCATAGAAAATAAATGTGTTGGTTGTGATTTCTTTGAAGAAAGTCTGAAGAGTAATGGTTAAAGTTACATCCCCCAAAGTAGTATAATCTACCAACATGGATTATGTAGACATTAGTCTGGGAATAAGGGGACCAGTAAATTATTATAATAAGCCTGATTTGCTCATAAATATTACTTTTGTTTGCTCCACAGAATCATTGAGAGAAATGCATTTAAAAAGACCAAACAATAGAGTGAAACTTTTCAAAAATAGTTTTATACTGTAATTTATTAACATTTCAAAATAATGTATTCTACTCACCAAATGGTTTGCTTTTTCACGATGTGCTCTTCTAGGCTTTTGATTCTTTTACAAAAGCTGTCAAAACAAATCCTGATTTTGCAGAAGGCTTTTATCAACGAGGTCTTTGTAAAGTAAAACTTCGCAGGGATAACTCGATCCTGGATTTTAATCGTGCAGTTACCCTCAATCCAAAGCATTACCAGGTATTTAAATGAACAATTTCAGTGAAATGGAGAGTGTGTTAACTTGGTTGAAATCATTGAACTGTATGCCATTGTTATCAGATGGTAACAACTGGTTACTTTTACCTACTTTTCAACCAAATGTATTTTGATAATCCAGGTATCAGTATTTCCCCTTTGAACTAAATGGATATTTTCAGCAGGGAGTTATTTAAAACAGGGAATTTAAACATTTAAAACAGGAAATTATGTAAAAGTGCTTTGTGAGCTATGATGTATATAAATATTGTTGTATTTAATATATCTATTAATAATTATAATTTTTATATTATGCTATTTAATTTACTTATTTTATTATCACATTGATTCTTGCCTTTTAATCAAATAGATAAACTTGATTGGATCCTGATTTTAAAAGTCTGTGAAACACCTTTATTGTTCATAATTGGGGAAAATTTAAATATGGACTAAATATTAGATGATTTTAGAGAATTACTGTTAAGTTTCTTAGATATATAATGGCATTGTGTTTATGTGGGAGAATGTCCTTCTTTACAGGAGATGCATACTGAAGGATTTGGGGTGAAGCATTATGATGTATACAACTTGTTTTCAGCAAAAATAGATAAAACAAATATGGAAAAATGCTAAAAATTATTAAATCTAGGTGGTGAATATATGAGTTCATTGTACTCTTCTTTCAGTTATTCTCTATGTTTGGATTTTTTGTAATAAAAGAGTGGAAAGAAAGACTTTACCTTATACCATCTGTGGATGGCATAGATTTGTTTGTTCAAAGTACCATGTATTTTGATAAAATTGATGCTGTTTACTAAAATATTCCCTCCTGCTTTCCTCCTTTCTTTCTCTAAAAAGGCATATCTAAGCCGAGTAGCCTACTATGGATTGAAAGGCAGATACTCAAAAGCAATCTTGAATTGTAATGAGGCCATCAGAATTTATCCTGAGAGTGTGCGTGCCTACCTCTACAGAGGAGTTCTGAAATACTACAACAAGGTAGGGCCATTTCCTGCCTTGTCAACTGAGATTTTGGACTAGGCATTTTCTTAGATGCAAAGGACCATTTCCTTTTGTTCTCTGATAGGAGAATCACCTTAGTATGAAGGGCAAAACTACAGAAAACACTTTACACTTTTACAATGCTTCAAAAGAGACTTCAATTCATAATTTTTCACAAAACAGTCACATTCACATTTTAAATAACACTCATTATTTTTAAGAAAGTTGTAAGGTTCAGAGAATTTGGAAAATGGAGAAAGGAATAAAAGAGATTAAAAGTACTTATTACCACACTATCAAATGATAATTCCTGAGAGCATTTTGTGTATTTGCATTTTGTCTTTTTTTCTTGCTAATTCATGATATATATGTTCCAAAGTTGGAATTATGCTGCTTAGATAATTTTGTGTTATGTCCTGCTTTTTGCACTTAATCTTTGGAGATACCATTTTTAATGACCTGCATAATAACCTGCCATAATGTATTTTTAACCCCTTTATTGTTGGACATTTGGATTGTTTTCAATTTTTTATTATTTAACTATTTAAAATAATACAGTTATGCACAGCTGAGTACAAAATCATTGCTTGAGTTTATGATTAGTTCTTAAATGGGAATTACTGGATCCTACAGTATGTGAACAGCACCGTTGACATCTGATATTGCCAGGAATACTTTGTTTCTCTCTACTTTCTTTTTCTGACCTTTCTTTGTAGCTATTTCATATGAAATATTTTGCAAATAATACCTTAAAGCAAAAGTAAGACCTTGCATTACATGTTAATTCCATGAAAATTACTATCTATAGAAATGGATGATATAAGGTATCAGAGAAGAATCAAGGAGGAAGCAAAAGAGAACGTGGGTAGAAAACATTACAATTATGTGATACGACAGCCTGAGTGACACAAGAAGTAAGCTCTGGTGACTGTTTGCCGTTTGAACTTGGCTTGCTTCTCTTTTACCAATAAGGAGGCGAATTCTCTCCTTGCTGCATAGCAACACTGTAATAATCATCTAAGTTAAAGTTGTTTATATATTTAATTTTATTTGCAGGTAAAAGAAACCATTATAATTTCTACCGGGAGAGTCTCATAATTAACTCTGTGAAAGATTAGCTTGATTGTCTTAATTTCACAGGCGATACACAGACTGGTTAAATTAGTGTTCTTGCCAAAAACTCTGACAGGTTTAAGAATTTATTTCTTTCAGTCCATTATGACTTGTCCTTCTCATCTGATTATTTTTTCTTTGTAGGCGTATAAGCTAGCGATTAGAGATTTAACTATAGCTATCAACATGGACAAAAACAGTCATATAGCATTTTATAACAGAGCAATATGTTACACCAAAGTAGATGAACTTCAAATGGTAAGATTACCATTTTAATAAAAAACACATTTGTAGAATTTTTACTATTTAAACTACGTACTCTACCAATTGGCATCATTTATGTTTGAATGAGTTTGTGTTAAAGTTATGTGTAAAGCATTTTCTCATTACTTCTGTTATAATTTTGAAAAATAATCACTATGGAAATGCACACGAAGGCTTGAGAAACCAAAGAACCATTTCAAAGAATATTTAATTTCTTTGTTAGTGTTCACCAAATTTTATTATACAATCTCTGCAATAGGTGAAATGAAAATTTAATTTTACAGTCCTTATATAAGCATTTGAAGGCAAATATAAATTAAAATGTATTACGTCTTTAATAGTGAATTGGGTAAATGTTTCTACTGATACAAGGGGGAAAGAAATTGAAAGCACTGATCACTAACAACACTATTGCTTCAAAATGTCAGCATTAGCTGGAGCAGTTCTTGGGGATATTTTTCATACAGTGCCCAGAGCACAAACACAGCAGGCAGTTTGTGTGGTTTCCAGTTCGGAGGACCAGGAACTAGGACTTGCTAGTGTATTGTGGATGCCTAATTGTTGTCTGCAGCAAACCTTTTTCTCCATTTTGTCTTGATCCAGCTTCTACCTGTGCAGCTCTCTTTTATATTTTCTAACATTGTCATCTCTCTTCCCTCCCCCTTGTTGGTTTAGTCCTTTTCAATCAGAATTCCTCACTGGGGTGGCAGGTGGCCTGTGGTCTCCCACCCCCTTGCTTCTCTTTCTCTGTTATCATTTGTCTCTGCCTGCTTTCTACCCCACTTCCACAGTAAATGAAGCATTCTTTTCAAAGACATTTCCCTCACCTCACATTTCCGCTGTTCTGTGTGGACATGCTCTCCAGTCTCCTTGAAATTTGGACAATTAAGTAGGTTTAAAACATTTGGAATTTTAGAGATTTACAAACTGTGGAAGGGAGGAAGTTAAGAAACCTTGTTTCTACCTAAGAGGATGTAGAATTTCTGGTAACCAGACCATCAAGTTTCTTCCTGTAATGTTGACAAATGAATAACTTTTTTTTAACAAAGGCGTTCTTAAGATACTTGGTGCTAATCAAAGCATCATTTATCAAGGTGACCCAACAGCAGGTGTCTGATGACTCCACCCCCCTTTCTGCATTTCTTGGGTAACTGAAGCTGCAAACAATGGGCTGGTGGGGGAGAGTGGGATAACTCCCATTTTTATCTGAAATATGTAAAGAAGCCAGTGCCCCATTAATAAAGAAAATGCAAAACTACCCAAATAATAAAACCCCAAACCAAACCCATTGCTATCTAGTCGCTTCTGACATAGGACATAGGATAGAGTAGAACTGCCCCATAGAATTTCCAAGGAGTGCCTGGTGGATTCAAATTGCCGACCTTTTGGGTAGCAGCCATAACTCTTAACCGCTACACCACTAGGGTTTCCTACCCAAATATAGTGAGACCAAAATAAAACCCATAACCCATTGCCATCGAGTCCATTGTGACTCATAGCAACCCTATAGGACAGAGTAGAACTGCCCCATAGCGTTTCCAAGGCTGTAAATCTTTACGGAAGCAGACTGCCACATCTTCCTCCTGTGAGACAGAATTAGAATAATAAAATATTGGTGATTTTAGAGCTGCCAGGAACCCAAAGCATTTCCTCCAACTGCTCATTTTACAGATTGAGGAAATAGAAGCAGGGAGAGGTTAGAAAGCTCATTTAAGTCACATAGGAAGCTAGAGTATAGTTGTTCTTAGGCTTGTTTGCTTCTGAGTTAACACAGCCTTTAGCTGGCTTTGTAAAACCATCTGACCTCCAGCATGTGCCCCGGATGCCAGAAGATACCATGTCACCTCCTCTTTTTGTCTACCTTCACCTCTTTCTCAGCATTCCTGCTGTCACTAGCCGGAGGGAACCCAAGTGTCTTTTTGCAGAAAATGAACTTAGACATTCTCCTAAAATACGGTTTCATAAAAACCAACCAAAGGTGAATTCTGGGTGCTATCACTCTATATTAATAAAAATGGTAACAATTACCACTTAATTAGGGTATATTATATGACAGACGCTTGGCTAAATGCTTTACTAACATACAATTGAAATGTTTTTAAGTAGACCCTTACAACAATATGATGAATTATTAATATTCCAATTTTGCAGATGAGGAAACTAAGGCTTAGTCTTAAGTTATTAAGACATCAAAGTTAATAATAGCAGAGGCATGATACAAAAACCAGGATGGGCCAAGGCTTTGACCCATCCTCCTAATCGTTTCCTAGCTTTTGTTTCTTCTTATGTCACATATGGGGCTACATGGGGTCACCATAGTCAGAGTCGACTTGACCACAACCGGTTAGTGGATCTCTAAGGTATCTTACAGGTTTTACAGTCTCTGATTCTGTGGAAGAAAAATTTAGACAACTTTTAGGCTAACATTCTAGGGTTTTTTTTTTTTTTTTTAACAAGTGTTACTAATTATTTTTACAGCCCTGGCAATGTTTATTTATAATTATACCACAATATACGTATAGGATCTTTAATTGCACAATTCTTTTAGACAGTTGAGTGCCCAATCATGAAACACTGGAAGAAGACAAGTGTGAAAATAGTCAAATACTATTTATTTGCCATTTTCAGTTAGCATGTGCTACAAGCACATAAGGAGCCCTGGTAGTGAAGTGGTTATGAGCTTAGGCTGCTAATGAGAAGGTCGACAGGTTGACTCCACCAGCTGCTCCTTCGAAACGCTGTGGGGCAGTCCTGCTCTCTCCTGTAAGGTTGCTGTGAGTTGGAATCGACTCGACACCACATGACAACAACAACACAGGCATATAAGGTTTGAACCATTTCTTATCAAACCATATGGCGCATTTGGACAAAATATTCAGTAGGAAAATGATTTAAGATATTCAATTCCAGCCCAAATTTGGGATGCTTCTGGTACCTTGGGCAGATAGATGACCAGTAAAAACTTGTTTATTCAGTGAATTAAAAAAGGTAAAATAATGGAGAAAGACCTGAGTTGATTACTTCTCAGCTTAGACTAGTATCTTTAAAATAATGAGTATACCTATCAAAATATTTTGAAGTAATTTTCCAACAAGTTTTTGTTTGTTATTTTTTTAAGACCCATTTTTTATTGACTTATGATTCATTCATTCAATAAGAATTTATTGAATGTCTCTTAAGTACAGGCATGGTACTTGTTACTGGGCTTGCAGTGGTGAACAAAATGGATAATACCTGCCTCATTGAGCTTAGATTTCAGTGAGGAAAGCAACAAAACACGAAAAAGAAATTAAATTTTAAATAGTAATAAGTGCTTTGCTTTAACGTCAACAGTCATTTGATGAAACTACTGAGTAAGGGGTTTTTTCATCCCCTGCCTTCCAACACATATGAAAATATTGGTGATTCACAAATAATATGTGAAATGCAATCACAGCGTGCCCATTTATTAAAAACTAGCATTATCCATAATATTTAGCTAAGGAGACCCTTATGATTATTTTGACCATAAATTATAATTCAAATGAAAAACTAACTGTAGGATTCTAGTTGGGGCATGCATACTTTGGACTTGTTATCAGGAGGGATCAGTCCCTGGAGAAGGACATCATGCTTGCTGAAGTACAGGGTCAGTGAGAAAGAGGAAGACCTTCAACAAGATGGATTGACACAGTGGCTGCAACAATGGGCTTAGCATAATAACGATTGTGAGGATGGCGCAGGACCAGGCAGTGTTTCATTCTGTTGTGCATAGGGTTGATATGAGTTGGAACCGACTCAACGGCACCTAACAACAACAATGACAAGCTGGTGCATAAACACATTTATCCATGAATAATGAAGTAAGATGCTAAAGAGTTGAATCTAGGTTGCAAGTGATTATTTTATTTTTAGGCATTAACAGATTATGGAGTTGTACTTCTTCTTGATGCTGGAGAAACGGTAACATTAAATACCTTCATTAACCGTGGACGCATCTACGCAGAACTGGGGCAGTATGGCTTTGCGTTAGAGGTAAATCTTCCTGTTTACGTATAAAAATGAACTCATTGATTTTGTATGTTGACTTCTGAAAATTGTGAACAAGTTTTTCTTGCTATCAAATGGCAGTATTAATGAATGATAATTCAACTTTAGCAAGCATTGTATTGAAGTATTCTGAATGACTAATAGAATTTTTGCAAAAAATGTGTATTTTTATTTTTTTTGATTACAGATAAATAACCAACAGATAAAAAATGTCTAATTTGATGAAATACATAATCAAGACTATCAAATCCCCCAACGGAGTATCTTTTCCTATATGCAAAACTCAATTATTTGGCAAATAACACGATTTATGTATCATTTACTCTGCTGCTCAGTGTTAACTCTCATTCACAGTTTTCCTCATTGACCATTGAAAATATATCAAAGTAAATCTGCTTGTTTCAAACAGGAGAGAGAATAACTGTTCAAAATAGGCTACTGGAAACAGGCTTTTAAGTTAGTGGGAACAGGCACTCAGAATTGCAGTGAAAGATAGCACATGCAGTATTATTGAAAAGAAACAGGTGGCTTAAAATGGATGTCATTATAGAATAATTAAACAAAATTCATCATTCTCATTTTTATTTTTTATTGCACATCTTAAGATAACTTTGGAGTTAAGATAAAGAGACACGAGGTAAAAATTATATAGCAATTTGAGGTTAGCAGTTAAATAGTAGTAGTTTTGCTTCCTCATTTCTGAGGAACTGCAACATAACATTATGCAGTGGAGTGTTTCCTGTTCTTTTCACCTCCAGATGGCTCGTCTGTTTTTCTACCTCTGGGTCATCTTTTGAGATTCTGCCCAACAGAATCACTTACTTATTATTAAGGGAGTTTCTGAGAAGCCTTATTTTCGGCAAGTTACACTATGATATAATGTAATTTCAGCAGTTGGATTCCTATAGGCTTTTTGATATAGTGAAAATATCTTTGTGATAACCACCATTAGGAATTCCCTTAGGCACGGGAGCTAAAGAACCTCTTTGGAGTAGGCAAGAAAGCCCTGGAACTCTGGGCAAGTGTTGGGGTGGAGAAGGTGAGGACAATGGAGGTGGTGACAGAGAACCTCAGCTGTTAGAGAATTAAATGTAATTAAATGTAAGGACTGTGTTATCTACTAAGTAATTATTTCGTATTTAACAACTTTAACTGTATTTATGGAGCAGTTGCTATGTACCAGGCTGTCAACAATCCTGCACAATTTATAATTGTAAATTACAGATGATAAACTGGTATTCAGAAGAGATTAAATAAGGTCTTTCATCCAGTAAGTACTGGGGCAAGAGTTGAATTCAGGTCTCACTTGATTCCACATTTGATGTTCTTTTAGACAAGGCACTGGCATTAGACTTGAGTATATAGAGATACACAGTTCTTGAGGAGCTCATGGTCGAGTGGGAATCATTTTTGATACTTCTCTTTCCTCACACCCTACATCCAATCCATTAGCAAGTCCAGTCAGTTCCACTGTCAAAGCATATTTTGAATTCAATAATTTCTCATTACTGCCACAGCTATCCCCCTAATTCAAGCCTTAACCATCTCTCCCCTGGACTGCTGCATTAGCTTCCCACTGGGCCTCTCTGCTTCCACTTTTGTTGCTTTACATTCTGTTCTCTGTACATCAGCCAGAGAGAACTCTTAAAAACATAAAGCAGATCAAGTCATTTCTCTGCTCAAAACCACCCACCAATGGCTTCCCATCACACTTAGAATAAAATCTGAACTCTTGACGATGATCAACCAAGACCCTATGTGATCTGACTGCTGCTCATCTTTCTGATCTCATCTCGTCAAACACAAATTATTCCATATGACCTGGTAATCTTACTCCTAGATATGTACCCTAGAGAAATAAAAACTTGTTTTCTCACAAAACCCTGTATGTGAATGTTTATAGCAGCATTATTTATAATTGCCAATAACTGGAAACAACCCAAATATCCTTCAGTATGTGAATGGATAAACTGTGGTACATCCATACAAAGGGATGCTGCTCAGCAATATTGATACATGCAACAATATGGATGAATCTCAACTGCATCATACTAAGCTAGGCTCAAAAGGCTATATACTTTATGATTCCATTCATATGAATCCTGAAACATGAAAAACTATAGGAATAAAGAAGACATCAGTAGTTGCCAGGAGTTAGGGAGTCAGAGTAGGAGGGAACTCTTCTGTATCCTAATTGTGGTAGTGGTTACATTTGTTAAAACTTCCAGAACTGTAAACCAAAAAAAGGAAGGGGGTGGGGAAATTTTACTCTATGTAAAATAACAAGTTAATTTAAAAATTAAGGGAAAAAAGATGCAGTAGAGGAAAATCAATGAAGGAATCTAAGACTGAATAACAAGGGTGGTAGATCAAGAATCAAGAGACAGAAGAGTCTTAAACTCACCCAGGAAAATGTTTTTGGTGAGAAGGACTTATTAACAGGGATATCAAGTAGGATGAGTGCCGAAAACATAGTAGGCAATTGATAGTTGTATGTCCTTCTTTTGGAACACTTTGATCGGGAAGTGGAGGGCAACATTGAGGTGGGATTGATTGGGAAGTTAAGGGTTAAGCTTGTTGGCTTGAGAACATTTGTTTATTTCTTTTCCCTCTTGAAGACCTACCATGATGAAAGTAGGGGAATAAAAAAGATATAATTCCATAAGGATAAAGAGAGTGGGAGAAGAGATACTGAGAAGAGGTACATTCTGGATTTTAATGCCTAAACTTAAATATGAATAGCCAAGGATCAGACACTAGAGGGAAGCAAAATAGAGAAACAAACAAACATTGTCATAGGTATATGAGCATGATGGGAGAACGGTAGGTGTGTGGGGTGATGGTATAAGAAAGCTGAATTACATTCTTTAATGTAGGAAGTGAATATTTGTATCATAAAAATATAATATGCATGTTATTTAGAAATTTGAAGGTAAATAGCAGAAGGAAAAATAGTAAGGTGTAAAAATGATTGTCTCTGGGGAGTGAGACTCAGGTATAAGGAGAGATGAAGCAAAGGATTACTGTTTAGCATTATAAATTTTGTTGTTTTATTAGCCTGTATACACTGTGTACAATGAGTACTTTATAAGAATAAAAATAAAGAAAAAAATGTTGTTAGAGCCAGTTTAAAAATTACACAATAAAATTAGATGGTCTTATTATGGAAAAAAATAATAAGTTGATGGAGTTGGGGGGTGTGGAGAGAATGAGTATTGAATATACTTTCAAGGAGATTGGTAGTGAGAGGAACTACAAAGACACAGCCATGTGTAGTTTGCTGAGCAGGGAGGGTTGAGGGAAGACGGAAGGAATATGGTAGAGCAAGTTGCTAGAGGAGATGAGAAGGAATGAGGTCAAGAGCACATCCTCTAACACAGGAAGGAGACAGTATGAAGAGTCGCTACAAATTGAGGGAGAGAATGGAAGTGGAGGAAATTTGCTTGCTATGTGAGTAACTGTGGGTGGTTTGTTATTTATGGTCCTGATAGAGAGAATTAATAAAGAAGAGAAAAATTATAAAAACGGCAGTTAGCATTATTCTGAGAGACATCATTTATGTCTATTGCTGTTAACTAATGCCTAATTACCATGTAACATAACAATGATTATACATAACAATTTAATGAGTCAAGTTGACTTTTGTAAGTTTTATCCGATTACACACTAAACTTGGTATTCTCAGCCTTTTAAGTTCATGATCCCTACTTACAACCCCCAAACTAACGGAAATGTTTGTAATAAATCCCACTTACATTTACAAATTTGCCTCCATTTTAGCAAAAAGTCCCCCTAAGATAGATACCTGGCAGTATATTTTATTAGATTATATTTCATTAGATAATAAATTTATTATTTTCTTCCAAATAGTTTCATTTAGTATCAAAACATGCTTCATGTTCACAGTGACACATCAGGCTGTGACTAATGACTTCTCTTCCAGTAGGATCCCAGAGTGCTCAGCTTGACCCTACTACTCTGTCTTCCACTCTCAGTAATAGCGGAAAACCCCATAAGACAGCCTTCTTCTAATTTAACCAGAGAGGGTTTGTGGAAGTGGGGGGAGAGGGAGCACTGTCTGTCATGGTTAGCTCCTCTCTAGTTGGATAGAAACCAGAATTCTGACACATACTCTTTGAGGCTGTGGAGTGTTGATGTCCCGCCTTCCAGGAAGGGAGCCTGGATGAGTTTCCTTTTGCCATTACAGGGGAGGTTACAGTACTGCCCACAGTTTAGTTTGTTCAAGTGAAGTCACAACCTCAACTGCCCATGAAGATCCTGCTTAAGCAGTCCTCTGGGAGGAAGCAGGGCATTTTTATTCCTTCATAGTCTCTGGACCCTCTTACTTTTAGAAGACCGCTTCCACATTATAGCAAATGCTCAACTCAATCTACGTTCCACATCGTGTGTGTGTGTGTGTGTGTGTATAGTGAGTTGAAGTTGACACAATACACTGATTTGTAGATATTTATTTGGAGCCCTGGTGGCACAGTGGTTACGAGCTGGGCTGCTAACCAAAAGGTCCGCGGTTCGAATCCACCAGCTGCTCCTTGGGAACCCTATGGGGCAGTTCTGCTCTGTCCTGTAGGGTCACTATGAGTCAGAATTGACTTGACGGCAATGGGTAGATATTTATTTAAATATTTTATTAATTTCAGTTTGGTAGTGTTCTTCTTATTTTGTTTTAGGTCTCAAATATTTTTATGGGGCTTTGAAAGCTTATAGGCTGCAGACATTGTGTCTCTGGTGCCTAAAAGAGAAGAGAATTCTGGGCCACAGTGGCAGGGTCTCTTGCAGATATGACTCTTTTAATGCTCTTAAACAGCCTCTTCCCCAGGGCCATTTGGTTCATCCTAGCAGACTTCCCTAACTTTAAATCCTGGAGTTAGTATGTTCACGCCTTCTCTTAGGAGGCCTCTTATTTCCCTGGACAAAGTGATATACTTCTTCCCCCAGAGTTGGGGATTCCAAGAGAGCAGCAGCCTTAGCTAATCCACACAAAAGACCCAGGTATGCCTTTTCTTGGGCCTGGGTGTCTGTTTGTCCTAAAGTTTCTCTTCAGGGGAATTTCCAAGATGTGGCAGTCTGCCTCTGTAAAGATTTACAGCCTTAGAAACCATATGGGGCAGTTCTACTCTGTCCTATAGGGTCACAATGAGTTGGAATCGACTCCACAACAAGAAGTTTGGTTTTGGTTTATCTAGATGGGGAAGTCTTGGGCAGTGTTCACTGGAAGAAAAGAATAAGAAGATAAGCAAGATACTCCATTACACATGAAAGGACAAAACTACAGGGAAGGTCCTTATTTAAGTGAAGACCGGAAGCACAGATTCTGAGTGACTTACGGTAATGGATTTCCCCTGCTCCGTTAGTTCTCACTAGATGTGGCACTGTAACGAAAAAATGAACTTTTAGGAAAAGATATTCATTTTACTGCTTGTGTTAAGTATATTCATGGTAGAATCAAAATTTGAAGGAATTTTTAAAAAGCACAAAAGAAAATGTTGCAAAATTAACAAAAAAAATTATTAAATTGTTTCAGGATTTTAAACAAGCTGCAGTGATAAGCCAGACTAACGTGAGCCTTTGCCATGCGTCCGCCATGTGTCATCACAGGTATGAAATGCAATTTATGTCGAAGTGAAAGTAAGTGAGTTTATCAAATTTATCTAATTATAACCCCATAAATAAGCCAGGAAACAATAGTAAAAACAGAAAAATGGTGTGGAAGTGACTGAGTTCAAAAATGGAGAGAGACACGAAGCAATGTCTAGAATTCCCTGTATAGAAATGGGGACCACGTCTATGTGTGCCATTAATACCCTTCTGCTTTTGAATAAATGATTGTAGCCAAGTCAGCAAGTATACACCTGCATCATGGCATTGTGGGTATCTAACTGATTGAAGAGAATAGCATATACACTGGTAAAGGACTTTGTTAATATACAGAATAAAATAGAGCTTGAAATATCTAAGAATGAAATCAAGTTATTTATTTGCTCCTGAAGTGGAACTAACCTTTCAAAAGCCCATTAATTGGACGAGAGAGTGATTTTATAAAGTAATATATTTTTAAGAAAATTTCGCATTTAAAAAAAATATTCTAAATCCAAAACTAATTAAAACAACAAGAATAAATACCTATAAAATACATTAAAAGCTACACAAAAATTTACTTAAAGTATTAGTGCCTGTTTCTAGGATTGTTATAAAAAGAAGTAAGTTGTAGAAGGAGGGAAAAGAACAATCACATAGGCTAAAATACAGAAGATGATTAGCTTAAGGTATACTCTGAGATAATTAGAGTACCGTAGATAAACTTTGCTAACCATAATGGTTACATTTCTGCATGTACATTTGACATCTAAAATTAATTTTTGGTTATTTTGCTTTTAAAAGCATAGAAGTTCAGCATGGAAGGGTTTTAAAGTGGATAAAAAGTATTTGGTTAAACAGTTTAAAACATTATTTTTCATATGAGAAACAATGATAAAAGTATAGTTAATTTGGAAGAGGAAATTGGCATAGTTCATAAATTATCTAGAGTAGGCTGAATAAATGTCCAATTTAGGGATTAGAACATAGTTTGTATTATTTAGGAAATTAATGTTCGTCTTTTCCCCTTCAGGACATATGATATATGCATGTAAAATATAACAACCTGAACTTGTGAAGATGCCTTTGAGTTAAAAGGCTTAAGCTGGTCTCAGACCTTTAATTTTATACAGAGAACCATAGTAACACCATTGTGTATGTTAGTCCGGCAACCTTTGTATAACCCATTGCTTTAAGTAATTGTCATTCTTCAGAAGAGATGGAATAACATGACTGATGTATTTGCTTTGGTGGGTGAGTGCAGACCAAAAATGTCTGAGGCAGTTACATTCTCTTGAAACTGAAAACAGACTCCAAAATTTCCCTCAGCCTCATTCCTGTGTTTAGCAGCTGTTAGAGTCAGCAAAGTTCTCTGTGTGCCATATCACAATCTCTTTTATGAAATGTAATCACTGGGTTTATATGGCAGAACCTCCTTAAGCTGTTACTACTTTGCAATTCCAAATAACCAACTTTCTTCAGGTGGCTAGACTCTCTATTGTCCTTTAATAAAAGTAGAATTTAAATCAACGGTAAGTCCGGATAGCTCACTGTCCAAATTTCATGTGTTTTGAGTTTTAAAACTGTTATTTAGTAATAAGGAATGTTTAGTGATTGGTCCTATTTATTTCAGGAAAAAATATTTTTGTTTTTCAAGGCTAGTAACAGATAATATACTTATTACACAGCAGTGTAGTTCTGTAAATATGGTGAGACACTATTGGCATTTTATAGTGGGGAAAGTAAAATTTTTCCATTTGGAAAATTATTTTAAAAAGGAATAAACCTTTAAATTATAAATCTTTGATCTTTGAACTCTTGGAGTTGCAGACTTTTGAAGTATGCCTTTGTATGTCTCTGATTCTCACTCCTGTGGTTGCTAGGAGACAACATTCCTTAGGCCGAATATCCTACTTGCTGCTCAGTTTGGTCACCAAGAGTGTTATGCTAGAGTTAAATATTTGGTATCTTTGAAAAAAAAAAAAAACTTAGTATGTATATGTTTTAATATATCACAGAGGAGAGCCTGATTACTCAGAGTTATATATCTGCTTTTTACTTCAGCACATTTATTATTTTACTATTCTTATATTTGCAAAAATAGTTTTGAATCTTTGACTCTACAAGCCACATTCTTCAGTTTGGGGAGGTATTTGGGATTTATTTGTGTAACTCAGTAGGGTACCTCTGGTCACGTATGTGATTAATTTGGAAAATGTAGTGGGCCTCTGTGTATATTGCCTGACTCACAAGCTCAGCACACAGTCCAGTGCTAATAGGATATTATAATGAGAATTATGCACCTTCAGTAAGTGATCACATTGCTTTAGATTTATACAAACACATATTATTTTAGAAAAACTCATTCAATAGCTTTTGTATTTGTGGTAACTAATGCTTAACAATTGATGTCTTGATGAGCATATAACTTGATATAACACATACACCCTGCCACACATTGGCTAGCTGCTGTGTAGTCATTCAACAAGAGCTTAGCCTCCAGGACACCATGATATACACATCTTCAGCAAAATGACATTGCTGTTTCTGTAGTGGTATCTATTTCATTTTTTTCCTCATCTATTGGTGCAGGGGTCTGGGCAGTCTCTGCCTTTGGCACGCTTATCTCCTTGAGACTTGATTTAAGTCATTATCAGCTGTAAAGTGAGGGTCTTTGCTAGAAAGGCCTGGTGATCTATCCGAAAAATCAGCCATTGAATACACTCAGTGGGAGCACGTTCTACTCTGACGTACATGGGTTTGCCATGAGTCAGAATCGACTCCAGGGCAACTGGTTTTCCAGGTTTAAGGTTTAATGATTATTTACTTAGTCTGAACAGACTAGATGCTCATTAAACATTAGTGCTGATAACTAGATAAACCAATAAAACCCACTGCCATCAAGTCCATTCTAACTCATAGCGACCCGATAGGGCAGAGTGCTGCTGTAACAGAAATACCACAGATAGATTGCTGTAAATCAGCATGTAGATCTTTATGGACACAGACTGCCACATCTTCCTCTTGAAGAGTGGCGGGTGGGTTCAAACCACCAACCTTTCATTTAGCAGCTGAGCACTTTAACTTCTGCACCGCCGGGACTTGATGACTAGACAGATAAAGAAAATAGCTTCACTCATAACGTAACAACATGGTGGGAGCTTCAGTCCACCGCCTCAGTTTTTTCAACTGGTTAGGCTATACAAAGGGTACAATTACGTTTTATAAACCGTATGTCAGATTATGTACTCACAAAGGATTATTAATCTTCCTTTGGGTTAGAGGGGACAATATGTATGATGCAATTTGAATGTCAGTATACTCAGAGTATTTCAATGATTTATAGAGAAAATGTGAGAGAACTAGGATTGTCCTGGAAATTTTAGGTAACATGATCACTGTAGGTGTGTGTCATAAGTAAATATTTCACTACCCATAGAAATACTGAGCACAGCCAAACCTAACAACTAAATACAGTTCCTGCAAAATGACTGTGAGCTACTTATTCTTGATAAAGAATTTATTATGCTATGTTTAGAACTATTTGTGTAATAACAGTGAGAAGGCAGCTGTAAAAGGCATTGTCACCCAATATTCAGTGACCTTTTACTTCTCAAACAGTGCCAATTGTCAGGAAAGAGGAGCGCAGTTTCATTGTAAACTACTAAAGGGAAATGAGCACGTGTTTTCATAGTAACCGCCCACAGGGTGAACTCAGAAGATATTAAGTGGCTTGTGTGTGTGAATGTTAACCTTTGCCCGTCTGTAATGTCAAAAGCTGAGCTTTACTAGTGTTTCACTGCTGATTCTTTTGTGCTCTTCTAACAGAACACTTGATGCACCACTTCTGGATAGTATTTGCAAAACATGGATCCAGTATCATGACCGTCTCGATTATTTTTCACGGGACATAGACAAGCATAAAAAAAATATTGAATCACTGTGAGAAACTGAATTCCTTTTCAGTTTCAAACTGAATTGTTTCTCAAATCTTCTTATTACGTCAAGGAGAAAGTGCCAGCTAAGATCTAGTCTTTAACATATTTCTAACACTTGCTAACATTTCTAACTTCCTTTTTAATAGATGGAGCAACTGTCAGGTTCAGAGTTTTCTGCAGACTACAGTATCCAGCTGTACTTTTAATTTATTTTTAGGATTACCTTCTATTCATTGATTTTTATTTATGGTAGTGATATTAACCCAGTTGCCCTCTAGTTGATTCCTACTCATGACAACCCCGTGTGTGTCAGAGTAGAATTGTTCCATAGAGTTTGCAATGGCTGATTTTTTGGCAGGAGATTGCCAGGCCTTTCTTCTGAGGTGCCGCTGGGTGAACTTGAATCTCCAACTTTTGGGTTAGCAGCAGAGTGCGTTAACCGTTTGCACCACCCAAGGAGGGATATTAAGTTGTATTTTAAAGTAAATTTATTTAAAATAAATTTATTAAGTAAAAAACGTGAGTTGATTTGAAGAAAAATATTCAGTAAATGATAGTGTAGGTAGAACATAAGGCAACTGGCCTAAAGGAGGGACTAAAGTTTGGGAAATGCTGTTTTAAGAGATACACCTGAGTAATATCTAGGTGCTTGTAATTTCTAGAACACATACCCTGGGTTCCTTGCATTTTATAAAGAAAAAATGTGCAAAAGTTGTGGTGCATGTTTTTAAATTTTGAAACCTGTTTGAGAAGTAATGAAAAAAACAGAAGTAAGATAATATTTACAGGGTAAGGGTCCCTGTGCTAGGTGTTTTTCATATGCTCTCATTTGATTCTCATAACAGCCTTGCAGAATTAGTGTTACTTGTAAATTTGGGCTCAGGTCTGAATTCCAAGCCGTTCTTCTTACTGCATTGTTGAGGTACAAGCTCACTGGCTCTCCTGCACCAGCAGCAGGTATATTAAAGGTGAAGAGTGTTTGGTAGAGATGATTGTATGGAAAAGCATGGATTTTGGAGTAAGGCTTACCTGAGTTTGAATTCCAAGTAATTACTCTGTGCAAACTTAATATAGTCTTTACGCTGCCATTTGCTATGTGTGATCTTTTCTGAGCCTTGATTTTCTTTTCATCTGTAAAATGATAACTGTAACTAGCTTACAGAATTGTTAGAAGGTTTAAGTGAAATAGTAGATGTAAAGCTCTTTAAAAAAAAAAACCAAAAAAACAAACCCAAACCCGTTGCCTTTGAGTTGATTCCCACTCATAGCAACCCTATAGGACAGAGTAGAACTTCCCCATAGAGTTTCCAAGGAGTAGCTGGTGGATTTGAATTGCTGACCTTTTGGTTAGCAGCCATAGCACTTAACCACTATGCCACCAGGGTTTCCATAAAGCTCTTAGTACCTAGTAAAGAAGCAGATACTCCATGGTAGCTCCCTGTCATGGATTGAATTGTGTCCCCCAAAATATGTGTCAACTTGGTTAGGCCATGATTCCTAGTATTGTGTGGTTGTCCTCCATTTTGTGATTTTCTTATGCGTTATAAATCATAATCTCTGCCTGTGGTTAAAGAGAATTAGGGTGGGATGTAATACCCTCGTTCAGGTCACATCTCTGATCCAGTGTAAAGGGAGTTTCCCTGAGGCGTGGCCTACACCATCTTTTATCTTACAAGAGATGAAAGGGAAGCAAGTAGAGAGTTGGGGGCCTCATACCACCAAGAAAGCAGCACCAGGAGCAGAGCACATCCTTTGGACATGGAGTTCCTGTGCGGAGAATCTCCTAGTCCAGGGTAAGATTGATGACAAGGACCTTCCTCCAGAGATGACAGAGAAAGCCTTCCCCTGGAACTGACACCCTGAATTTGGACTTCCAGCTACTAGACTGTGAGAAAATAAATTTCTCTTTGTTAAAGCCATCTACTTGTGGTATTTCTGTTATAGCAGCAGTAGATAACTAAAACATTCCCTCATTATTAAAAAAGAAAATCTAGATTTTTTCCATGTTAACTGAGATCAAGCGTAATTGTTAGATATGCATGTAAAATGGAGAAGTGACTTTATGTGCCCAAGAACAAATATTTGATTTTTTCAACAGCCCCATTCCCACCACAAGAGAATACTTATGGAAGATAGACAGTTTTCATTTAGCCACATATTTTCACAAGTTAGTAAATAAAATACATTTTACTTCTTTCTCTTCCATTCTGTCTGGTGTTCGTAATTAAGTAAGTTATTAAATGGGCTAAGTTATTAAATGGGCTGCCTTAATAGAAGAAAATCTGACCTTAAGAACCCCATCTGATGAAAATTTGGTTCCTTCTATTACATAAGGAAAATACTTAGAAATAAATTTTTATTTTAATTTAAATAATGTGTTCCATCAGTAATCCAAATCCATTGCCATCGAGTCAATTGACTAATAGCAACCCTGTATAATGTGTTATTCTGTATTGGCAACTGATAGCTATGAGAAACGGGTTCAGGAATGCTATTCAGACTTTTAAAATTCTGAAAAAAGGATTCCAAAATAGCATTCCAGCACATTCTACTATAAAAACGGCTCTTAACCTTCCTTCTTTATTTACCTTCAAAATGGATTAAAAAAATGAAAGATCTTCTGTAAGATTTCACAAATCTATGAAAAAGTCATATATGGGAAAGCACTTAGACAATTCACCAGGAAACATACATATCTTCATTTCTTTTCAGAATTAAAGAGTTTGAAGACGCTGTCAATTTCTTCACCTGGGCTCTTAAAATTAATTCAAGTTTTGTGGACGCCTATGTTGGACGGGGAAATTCTTACATGGAATACGGTCAGGAGGAAGCCACCAAGCAAGCACAGAAAGACTTCCTGAGAGCATTGCATTTTAATCCAGTTTACACAAAAGCCAGAATTAGTTTAGGCTATAATTTGCAGGTAATATTATATAACAACATTTTGGACTATGAAAGTACCTTTTGAACAAGAGAAAGTATATATTTGGCTCCTTACTGGGGATGAGGGTTAATTTTATCTCTTTGGTTATGAACAATTTATGTTTCATTTATTTTTAGTATGCAGAGTAGCAGTGGGAAGCAGGGGTTCAGTTAATTATAGGGAGCCTGCCTGGATAAGCCTGGGGACCTAGTATGCTACTCAGATGAAGATGTTTTCAATCTGAGTTTCTTTAATATCTGTATCTTTTCCTACCTCACGCCTACATTTATAAACAACTTTTCAAATTTGCCTGATGAATTTCACATCTAAGAACCTAATGTTTATTTCATTTAAAAATAAGTGCATTTGGCTGATCTGAGACTAGTAGTGGAGATGGTTGTTGGGATTGGTGGTTATAATGATGTGTTAATGAGAACTTGTTAATAAAAGAAATAAGATTTCCTTCTGAGAGTTAAACATAAAATTAGCTCTTGTGGATCATAGTAGAAATTTGTAACATTAACATAAGGAGACAGAGTGATTCCCAGAGAAGCTAGAGCCGATGGTAATGCAATGGAATATGTTATCGTAATTCATTGCATTCAACCGTTATTTACTGAGCACCTGCTATACGGCAGGAACTTCTGTAGGCCTAGGGATGCAGCAATGAACAAGATGTACTTGGTTCTTATCCTTGTAGAGTTTGCTATCTGTTTAGGAGACGGGCATCAAGCTATCATACAAATACTTATTTAATTAAAATCGTTACAAGTGCAACAAAGGAATGGATGTTATGACAATTTGTAACAAGGGGATTTAGTGTTGTTTGAGGGGTCAGAGAGGGCTTCTTGAGAAAGTAACATTTAAGTTGAGGCTTGAAAGACTAGTAATTAGTCAGGAGTCATGGCTGGGGCTAGGACACAGTTTTCAGCCAGAGGGATCAGCCTATTAGAAAGTCCTATGAGAAAAGGCACAGAGATCCCAAGTAGTTGGAACATTAGGGGCAAGGGGAGAGTGGTGTGGGATGAGGCTACAGAATTGAGCAAGGGTTGGGGTTGAAGGCCCTGTAGGCTAGTTAAAAATATGAATAACTAACCAGTGACACCTGATTTGCATTTTATGAGCATCTCACTGGATATGTATTAATCTGAAAGAGATTGAAAAATACATCAGTTGGAAGAAGGATTGAATCAGGGAAGACTGAAAATGAAAATTTAGAGAGACTTGTCCAAATATTGGCCATTTCTTCAATAAACATTTATAGACTACCCTGCTATGAGCAAAACAGACATCGTCAGGTACAGATGACAAATATAATCCTATTGTGAGGTGGTTTGCATCTTAATTTTCCAATAACTTAATCTCAATTTGCTTGATTCCTTGTTTATTGAATGAATACGTGACAACAGTATGGATTTTAACATTGTTTACCTAGAAAGGAAGGTTTGCTGGTCAAAAAAATAGTGTCTAGTTCCCTTACTAGTTATATTTTTTTACTAGTTTTATGTGAGTGTCACTGGGTTCAGTTTAGTTAAAGTGAGTCAGCTTCTGAGATTCTGGCAAGTTGGGTTTTTGAGCTCATGAGAATAAAGAACAGAACCTGCAGTGTGTTCAGTTTATCAACTCAGTTCCTTCCTGTGGTGGTGCATTTAGTTGCCAGCTAGTTTTCTCTGGGAAATACTCTGACTACACCATCGTTCTACTATTAGTTTCCCTCTCCTGACCTTTTTTCTGGTTGAGCTGAGGTTGGTATAAACAGATGCTCGGTAGATTTGCATGCATTTTCCATGGGATATGTATAAACCAAAACCCAAACTCATTGTCATCAAGTCGATTCCCACTCATTGTGACCCTATAGGACAGAGTAGACCTGTCCCACAGGGTTTCCAAGACTGTAAATCTTTACAGGAGCAGACTGCCACATCTTTCTTCTGCAGAGTGGCTGGTGGGTTCGAACCACCCACCTTTCAGTTAGCAGCTGAGTGCTTAACCACTGCTCCACCAGGGCTCCAGAATATGTATTTTAAAAAAAACCTAATTGCAATCGAGTAGATTCTGACTCATAACAACCCTATAGGACAGAGCAGAACTGCCCCATAGGGTTTCCAAGGAGCAGCTGGTGAATTTGAACTGTGGACATCTTGGTTAGGAGCTGAACGTTTAACCACTGTGCCACCAGGGCTCCTCGGAATATGTATAGTGACCCAAAATTCCAGATACTGGTACAGTTTATCAAAATATATGTTACACCATCAGTTCATTCATTTATTTATTCAACATATATTTATTTTATTATGTGACAGACATTGGAGATTCACTGCCAAAGAAGATAAACACAATCCCTGTTTGCATGTGTGGAGCTTACTATAAACTTTGTGGCCATTGTCAGAAGCATTGGTGTTTCATATGGTGTCCATGATTTTATATTGCCCAAGATTGGTATTAGAGATGTGCTGACATTTAAATTTATTTTAATTAATTGAAATGTCAGTATAAGTACTCAGAGGTAATTAGTTGAATGCACTCACAGTATCATCTGCTTTCTTGTTTAACTTAGCTTAGATTTAGTACAATATAAATATACACTTACTAAAGGTTTTATTTGATTGAGTTAGAATGATAAACATTTGTCATGTGATGGACTGTTTCCTATTTTGTGTAAATGAAAAATTATTTTAGGCCCAAGGAAAATTCCAGAAAGCTTGGAATCACTTTACCATTGCCTTGGAAATTGATCCAAAGAGCTACATAGCCTATGAAGGAAGAGCTGTGGTCTGTCTTCAGATGAGTAATAATTTTGCTGCAATTCAGGATATTAATGCTGCCATAAAGGTAAAAATCCACTTAGATTATATTATTATTAGCATAAATTAACACCATCAATGAATAGGTTCAAGTAAGGAGTTCTCTGATATCTCGATCTCTCTCTCTCTTTTTTTTTTTTTTTGTATTTTTGATGAAAGTTGACACAGCAAATTAGGTTTCCATTTAACAATTTCTATACACATTGTTGAGTGAAATTGGTTACATTTTTCACAATGTGTCAACATTCTCATCATTTCCATACTGGTTGTATGTTTCCATTAATCTAGCTTCTCTATTCCATGTTACCTTCTCATCTTTGCTTTATGGTAAATATTGACAGTTTGGTCTCATATAGATGGTTATTTAAAGGAGCACGGTACTCACGGGTAATATTGTTTCTTTTATGAGCCAGTCGATTATTTGGTTGAAAGGTGAACTCCGGGAGTGAGTCCAGTTCCAAGTTTAAAGTGTATCTCGGGGCAGTAATCTGCAGAGATCTCTGGTCCAATAAATCTGGCCTTTTTTTGGAATTCGAGGTTTGTTCTCCATTTTTCTCCCATTCAGTGTGGGACCATCTATTATGTCCCTGGTCAGAACAGTTGTTGGTGGTAGCTGAGCACCATCTAATTCTTCTTGTCTCAGGACAGGTGAGGCCGTGGTTCCTGTGTGCTATTATTAGAAGATTAGTTTCTTCTTTGAGTCTTTGGTTTCCTTTTTTCTCTTTCTGCTCCAGACAAGTAGAGACCAATAGCTGTATCTTAGATGGCCACTTGCAAGTTTTTAAAACCCCAGATGCTACTCACCAAACTACGATGTAGAATAATATCTTTATGAACTATGTATATCAATTGACCGAGTTGTCCCCTGAGACTATGGTCCTAAGCCTTCAAACCCAGTAAACCAAATGTGAGAGGTATTTAGTTAAGTCTAGGAAGTATCTGCAATTGTGCCCCCTGTGTGATGTGTTATGTATATGAGTATATGTGCAGCACACAAAAAATGCATATATGTGCCCAGAGATACACCTGTACATGCATACTCATATGCACACATGTGCCTTCCTATACACATACATGCATACCTGTCTACTTATGTGGAGCCCAGGTGGTGCAGTAGTTAAGAGCTTGGCTGCTAACCGAAAGGTCTGCAGTATGAATCCACCAGTTGTTCCTTGGAAACCCTATGGGGCAGTTCTACTCTGTCCTAAGGGTCACCGTGAGTCAGAATTGACTGGATGGCAACAGGTTTTTTTTTAATCTACTTATGTAACCACATGTATATTTTTTGGTCATTATTACTGTTGTTGCAAAATTGTATATGCTACAGCATTTACCAAAATCTTCCCTTGTTCTTGTGCACTTCTTATTGTCATCATTTACCTTGGTCAGGTTGTGCAGACTTCACCCATATTGGGGATTGCCTTTCCCGTCACCAAAAATAACAAGTGGCTACTATCTAGAAAGTTCTTCCTTCTCCCTCTCCCTCCCTTCCCTGGTAACCACCAAAGAAGGTTACCTATTCTTGTCTTTTAATAAAAGTGACACCATGAAATATTTGTCTTTTTGTGATTGACTTATTTCACTCAGCATAGTGTCCTCCAGGATCATCCATGTTATAATGTTTTGAAAACTTATCATTATTCTTTATAGCTGCATAATGTTCCACTGTATGTATGCACCACAATTTATCCATTCACCCATTGATGGGCACTTAGGTTGTTTCCGTCTTTTTGTTATTGTGAATAATGCTGCAATGAGCATAGGAGTGTATATGTCCATTGGTGTCACTGCTATTAGATATCTAGGGGTATATACCTAGGAGTGGGATTGCTGGATCATAAGGAATTTCTTTTTCTAGCTTTTTGAGGAAGCACCATACCATTTGCCATAGTGGTTGTACCATTTTACAATCCCACCAGCAGTGTATAAGCATTCTAGTTTCCCCACAACCTCACCAGCATTTGCTGTTTTCTGTTTTTTTGATCAGTGCCATTTTTGCAGGGGTGAGGTAGTATCTCATTGTAGTTTTGATTTCCATCTCTCTGATAGCTAATGATCACAAGCATCTTTTCATGTGGTTGTTAGCCATCTGAACGTCCTCTTTGGTGAAATGTCTGTTCGTGTCCTTTGCCCACTTTTTGATTGGATTATTTGAATTTTTGTTTTTGAGTTGGTGAAGTTTTCTATATATTTTAGAGATTAGACCCTTATCAGATATGTTGTTGTCAAAGATTTTTTTTCCCAATCTGTAGGTTCTCTTTTTACTCTTTTGATAAAGTCTTTTGTTTAGCATATGTTGATATCTTTTTAAAGTGAGTTGTATAGAAAATAATTTTTCTTTTTGAAGTAATTCTTAGAGAGTTACTATGACTTGCCAATTTTATAACCTAATGAATTTAAAATTCAAAAAACAAATTCCAAATAAACACTGATTCCTTTCAGTAAACGCAGTTTACGGTTTTGTGGAACATAATAATGTTTTGTAGCACAGCATAAATGTACAACATAGAATAACGTTCTAGGTTTGAAGGAACTGAAGAAAGAATCATGCGTATCTCTAGATTCCTCCTGTAGTGAAATGGCAAATGCAAATCTCAAGTTATGAATACAGTGACAGAAAATCTTCCTCTTTTCTTCTAGAACTTGGATTTTGTGTTTTATTTCAGTAGATTTGGGTAGGTATTGTAATGTTTGAGATGAGGGAAAGAAAAGAACTGAAAGATAATTGGTACTACATAGGGCACACAAACATGTTAAGCATTCAATTTAATTTCTTCTCTAGCTTATCATAGCTAAACAGACAAGCTTCCCCCACCCCCACCCCCAGTCCATGTCTATTTCTTGGAAAGGAACTGAGTAAAGTGCTGAGATGATTTGTCTTATTGCAACTAAATCAACAAAGAGTTGACATTGAACCAACTTTATATAGAGTCCTTTCTCAAAATATTTGTTCTAATGAAGTTGTACCTGCACTATAAAATTACTAGTTTCCCACCAGGTAGATTTCATAATGTTCATTTTTGCAGAGCAGACATGAAATAAGAGATAAGTACTATTCCCAGGTGCTAAATACTCATACTATTTTATTGCAGATCAATACTACAGCAGAATTCTTAACAAATCGTGGTGTGATTCATGAGTTTATGGGTCAACAACAGAATGCAATGAAAGACTATCAAGCAGCAATATCTCTAAACCCCGAGTACTCACTAGCTTACTTTAATGCAGGAAATATCTACTTTCACCACAGGCAATTTTCCCAGGTAACGTGAGAAAAAAAAAATTTTCTTTTTGACACAAAATACTTTCTTTGTTATACATAGTTTCAAAATACAGGGTAGACTAATCATTCATTAGCTCTTCTGTTTTTGTTTTTTTTTTAAATGTTCTCTTTCACAGGAATGTTTATAATTATTAGTTAAATGTTTATACTTCTGTGGATTTATTCTCATAATTATCAACTTTTCAACTTTTCTCCAGTGAACGTTCTTTTGGACTTCCTCAGTGCTACCCATCGTTGCCAGCTTTCCAGCATGGAATCCTTCTTTCCTTTCCCTCACTTAGCTAAATCTCAGACTTCCTTCAAGACCCTCCTTTGTAATGTGATTATCTTAATTTCCGCCTTTTCTAAATATCAGTCACATGAGCACTTGACTGGGAGTAAGAAGACCTGGATTTTAATCTGGTTTTGTGTGAACCTAACAGGAATAAGGAGCCCTTGTGGTGCAGTGGTTAAGAGCTCAGCTGCTAACCAATAGGTCAGCAGTTCGAATCCACCAGCCGCTCCTTGGAAACCCTATAGGGCAGTTCTGCTCTGTCCTATATGGTGCCTGTGAGTTGGAATCAACTCGAAGGCAATGGGTTTTGTTTTTTTGTTTAATGGGAATAAAGAGGCATGGGTTTTAATTCTGGTTTTGTGTGATTACTTAACCTCCTTGGAACTCAATTCATAATGTCTGAAATAAATGTGTTTGGTTATTAATGATATCTTCTATTTTCTATTTATTTTATTTGAATTGGTAATGCATTCACATGATGCAAATTCTTAACTTTTTAATTTCTGCTTTTTATCTATATTCACTCTTTTGTTCTACTTTACTTCAATTTACCTTATTCTCTGTCTACTTTTTTTGAGTCAGAAACTTAGTTCATTTATTGTCACTCTCATTTTTATTGTGATAAGTTATTAAAGTTTGTCTCTTTTTGCCAAGTACTGCTTTAGTAGTATCTCATGTACTTTGTAATGTTTTTATTATTAACATTTTCTCAAAATTCTGGTACTGCAATTTGAATTTCCTTTTTGACTCAAGAATAAATTAACAGGCCCAGACTGCTTCACTGCAGAATTCTACCAAACATTCATAAAAGAGTTGACACCAATTCTACTCAAACTATTCCAGAACATAAAAAAGGAAGGAATACTCCCTAATTCATTCTATGAAGCCAGCATAACCCTGATACCAAAGCTGGGCAGATATACCACTAAAAAAAGAAAATTACCGACCAATATCCTTCATGAATATAGATGCAAAAATTCTCGACAGAATTCAACAGCATATATAAAAAAAAATACATCAGGATCAAATGGGATTCATACCAGGGATGCAAGGATGGTTCAACATTAGAAAATCAACGTAATTCACCACATAAATAAAACAAAGGAAAAGAATCAAATGATCATCTCAATTGATGCAGAAAAGGCATTTGATAAAATTCCAACACACTTTCCTGATAAACTCTCAGCAGAGTAGGAATAGAAGGGAAATTCCTCAGCATAATTAAGAGCATACATGCAAAACCAGCAGCCAACATTATTCTCAATGGAGAAAGATTGAGAGCATTCCCCTGAAGAATGGGAATGAGACATGGATGCCCTTTATCACCACTCTTATTCAATATTGCATTGGAAGTTCTAGCTAGAGCAGTAAGGCAAGAAAAGGAAATAAAGGGTATCCAAATTGGAAAGGAAGAAGTAAACTTTCCTTATTTGCAGATGACATGATCCTATACATAGAAAATCCCAGAGAGTGCACAAGAGAGTTACTGGAACTAATAGAAGGATTCAGCAAAGTGGCAGGGTACAAGATCTACACACAAAGATCAGTTGGGTTCCTTTACACTAACAAGGAGGACTTTGACAAGGAAATCAAGAAAACAATACCATTTAGAATCACCCCCAAAAGGATGAAATTTCTAGGAATAAACCTAACCAGGTAAGTAATAGACTTATACAAGGAAAACAATAATATACTTTTGCAAGAAACTAAAAGAAATCTACGTAAATGGAAAAACATTGCATACTATGGCTTGGCAGTCTTAACATTGTGAAAATGTCAATACTACCAAAAGCAATCTATAGATATAATGCAGTCTTGATCCAAATCCCAACAGTATTCATTAGTGAAATGGAAAAACAAATCTCCAACTTTGCATGGAAAGGAAGGGGGCCCCGAATAGCTAAAGCAGTATTGAAGAAGAAGAACAAAGTAGGAAGCCTCACACTTCCCTATCTTAAAACTTACTATACAGCCGTGGTAATCAAAACAGCCTGGTACTGGTTCAATGACAGACACATAGACCAATGGAATAGAATTGAGAATCCAGAAGTAAATTCATCCATCTACAGGCAGCTGATCTTTGATAAAGTGTCAACTCCATTCAATGAGGAAGAAACAGTCTCTCTAACAAATGGTGCTAGCAAAACTGGATATCCATATGCAGAAAAATGAATCAGGATCCATACCTCACACCATGCACAAAAACTAACTCAGAATGGATCAAACACCTGAATGTCAAAGCTAAAACAATAAAGTTCTTGAAAGATAACATAGGGTCAAAACTAGGGGACCTAATTTTCGGCATAAATAGCCTATGAAACAAAACTAAAAAGGCATGAACAACAGAAGGTAAATTAGATAACTGGGACCTCCTAAAGATTAAATATGCTCATCAAATGACTTTACCAGTAGAGTAAAAAGAGAACCTACAGACTGGGAAAAAATCTTTGGCAATGACATATCTGATAAGGGTCTAGTCTCTAAAATATGTAGAAAACTTCAATAATTCAACAACACAAAGACAAACAATCAAATCAAAAAATGGGCAAAGGTCATGAAGAGACACCTCACCAGAAAGGGCATTCAGGCAGCCAACAAATACATGAAAAGATGCTCACGTTCATTAGCCATTAGAGAGATGAAAATCAAAACCACAATGAAACACCATTTTATCCCTGCAAAAATGACAGTGATTTAAAAAACAAGAAAACAAATGCTGGCAAGGTTGTGGGGGATTGGAACTCTTATTTGTTGTGGGTAGGATTATAAAATGGTACAACCACTATGGAAAACAGTATGGCACTTCCTCAGAAAGCTAGAAATAGAAATACCTTATGATCTAGCAATCCCACTCCTAGTTATGTATGCTAGATATGTAAGAACAGTGACAGGAATAGACATATGCACACAACTATGTTCATTGCATCATTATTCACAACAGCAAAAAGATGGAAACAACCTAAGTGCCCATCAGCAGATGAATGGATAAACAAATTGTGGTAGATGCATACAATGGAATACTATGCAACTATAAAGAATATTGAGGAGTCATTGAAACATCTTATACCATGGATAAATCTGGAGTACATTATGCTGAGTGAAGTAAGTCATCACAAACAGACAAATTTGCATGGTCCCACCGTTATAAAAAGTCAAGAATAGATAGACACACAGAAAGCAAAGTTCTTTGATGGTTACCAGGGATGGGAGGAGTAGGAGGTGGGAATCACTTTCTAGGTAGTAGACACTTGTTACTTTTAGTGATGGGAAAGGCAATCCCAATTATGGGTTAAGTCAACACAACTTGACCAAAGTGAATAAAGATGCTAAGAATTACACGAGAAAAGGGATAATTTTCAATAAATGCTGTAACATAAGTTTGCAACAACAGTAAAAAAAAAAAAAAAAAAATAGGGTGTTTAAAATTTCCACATGGAAGATCTTTGTATTTTTCAAAATTTGTAATTTATTGCACTTTAATGTGGTCTAATATATGTCAACTTTTTTTTTTTGTTAAAAAATCTTCCAGAACATTTTGAAAGAAGGGTTCTATTATCAGGATATTGAATTAAATATATATTTATAAGGTCTACCTTGTTAATTGTATTTTGAATTAATCTTTATTCATTTTTTTTCACTTGATTTGTCTTGGACTGAGATAAGTTTATTCAAGTATTCCATCATTAGTATGTTCCTGTATACATCTCCTTATAACTCTTGTATTTTCTGCTTTATGAAAATTGCTGCTACATTATTTTATGTACAGATATTCATACCCATTATATATACATTGTGAATCATAGCCTTTAGCAGTGTAAATGCCCTTCTTTGTTTCTTTTAATGTTTTTTAGAGCAAATTTTACTTTATTTGATACCAAGATCGTATCCTCTGATTTCTTTTGGATTGCTTTTGCCTGGTATTCCTTTGTCCTGCCTTTTATTTTCAATGTTTAGTTTCCTTTATTTTAGGTGTGTCTCTTTTATACAGTATAGAGTTGGATTTTGCTTTAAGAGCCAGTTTGAAAATATTTATCTTTTAATAGGTGAGTTAAGCCATTTACGTTTTAGCATGATTAATATGTTTGGTCTTAGTTCTGCTATTATATATTATGTTTTCTGTTTATGTCTGTTTTAAAAGCATTTTACCCTACGGTCTGTTTACTTTGATTTTTTTTTATTTTAGAGTTTTCCTGATATTTCAGAAGGCTTGTATTTTTTCTCTAGTAATTACCTTTATGAAAATACTCTTGTGTAATATATCTTTAGTTCCATACCATATTTTATTAGTTTCTCTACTATGAGCAATAATAAAATTACCTTGTAACCTCCTCTTTCCTTATTTCTTCCTCTCATCCATTATTCAATTTTAGATAATAGTATTCTATTTTAAAAAATGTTTTTATTGTGTTTTTAAATATGCTTGAGCTTATTCTGTCAATTTGTGGTGTCAGCTTACTTTCCACATTCTCTCCCTGTTCCCCTCCCATTTTGTTGTGAGTTTTATTATTCCTGCATTGCCAGAGGATTTAATATTTACATACTATTTTGTTATTTTTATTGCACCTTTTAGTCTTAATTCTCCAGTTAAATATATTCAATTCTCATTACCAGGCTTTATGTCAAAGTTCTTCTTCCCTCCAGTCATTCCTTGGTTGTCTGAAGTTAGTCTTCCAGAAGAGTCTTGAGTAAGGGCTTCGAGAACAGTA